CAGCAGACACTGCTAAGCATCTGCCCCATTTCTTCATCAAGCCTGTTCCCCAGCAGCCAGGTGCACACTGGAACCTCAGCTCCAGAAAAAGGAAGAACTAGTGGAAGCGCCAGAGTCCTGGGCTGAGCAGGGCGTGCCCTGTCAGCAGACCCTCTGTTGGGCACTCTAAACAAGCACAGGGCAAGCCCCTCAGTTTAGTGTGTCCCATATCCGGCATGGAGACAGCACATGCATTGTGCAGGAAGAGCACAAGGGCCCAGGGGCTGCGTGGTGCGGGCGGGCAGGGATGCCTGTGCACATCCACACTGCGTGTTTCACACACTGCAGGTTGCCATACCACGGAGCCTCAGGTCAGACACGCCTTCGGAACTTCCCCCAGTCCCAGGCCAGAGGTGGGCAGTGAAGGAAAGGGGATGGGATCAGCCTGCTGCTCCTGGGTGATCTGCAGTCCTCAGGCCCAAAGTCCCGGAGTCCCCAGAGTTAGTTGCTGTCGTTCTTGATTACAACCTCTAATCCGTGGTGCCGCAGCTGAGCTCGTAGCAGCAGGTTCTTGTTTTTAAGATCTTCCACCTGCTGACGGAGCACATCATTGTCCAGCTGCAGCTGATCTAGTCCCTGGAACTCCTCAGACAGCCGGTGGTTACTCTGTCGAAGCTCCTGGATATAATCACAGGCTTTGGATAGAATTCCACCTTTACTCTGGCCAGACTTGGTACTCTCCATTGAGCAGTCCGGAATGATCTTGGACAGCTGTACAATCCAGTTGTTGATCTTGTCTCGGCGGCGGCGCTCCACTTCATTATGTTGAGCCCTGCGTTTCTCATCCCGAGTGGTCCTTGGAGCTTCTGACTTCGGGGAGTAAGGGTGGGTCCTGGGGGCAATCGAGCGCTGGCTCCCTCCCTGCAATACTTCTTGTGGTGACATCATCACAAAGAACTGACCAGTGCCAGGAGGGGTAGACTGTCCCAGTAGTGCCTCCGAGCCCTGGGTAGTAACAACAGCAGCTGTACTCCCCGAAGTTGTACCCCCTGCCCCATCTCCCACTGCAGTGCTGGGGAAGTAGGTATAATGTGTCTCAGCAGCTGTCCCCTCTGTGTCAACGGCATCCTCACTGGTGAAAGCACCCTGGATCACTGCCTGGGTCATAGATTGAGTGGCAGGATAGCCACTAATGGCTCCAGTGCCCTCAGTCTGGCCATCCAGCTGCCCCTCAGACACCTGGATCACCCTGTACATCACTTGATGTTGGGATCAGGGAAGGTGGCAGCTGACTGGATACTAGCAGTAGCCACACTGATTGGGTCCTCCCCAGTAGCCACTGCACCTTCCTGGATCTGCACTGTCCCCTCTTCTGTTTCAGCTGTTTTCTGCTGCCCCTTCATCTCTCTGTGAGGGGGCACATCCGAGGAGCCGGTCCTTTGTGGAGGTCTTTGTATCTCCTGATTCAGGCTTCAGGGCTGTCAGGCCACTGCCACTCCGGCCGCCGTTTTCCCCCCATGATTTTCAGTGACTTAAAAATTACTCTGTGACCAGCAGTTCAAAGAGCCATGGAATTATGATTGTTTAATTTTGTAAGTGCATTCAGGGGCTGGTATCAGGATAGCATAATTAAGCAAAAATTCTCTTTATCCTAACAATAGGAATGAAAGAGTGCATAATGGTTTAAACTATTTTCCATTTTTATTCTGTCCTCTTAAAAGAGAAAACACAGTAGTGGGGAATTGGGTAGGAAGATGGTGTTTGACTTCTAGTCCTTTCAGAAACCTCAGTATGATTGCTTTGGCATTAATCTGATATATAAGTGAAGATCTTATATAAGACATTTCTGTTCGCATAATAATTTTGCATATGTTATACTCACTTAAGTTTTTCATTTTTTCATATATTCTAAATCATTTTTTAGATATAGGCGTTTTCAGAATAGCTTATTTACATGATCTATTACCCAAATCATTTCATGTAAATATTTGTAGTGCTTTACTGTACTTAACCTTGGTATTTTTCCCCTTCTTGTTACATCTTTTACATGTCTACACTTTTTAAATTTTATTTATTTTATTTTAGGGAAGGGTCTATGGGGTGTTCAGGGTCTCACTACTAAATTAAATTTGTAGTGATCTGCCTGTTTACAGCCTCCCCAGAGCTAGGATTACAGGCTTGCACCACCACGCCCAGTCTCCAATCACCATCTCAGCCTGCACGCCAGGTCCGGATTGAACTCCCTGCTCCTGCACCTGCTTGCAGGTGCTTTAATCTGCTGAGTTCTTTGGCCAGCCCTTTTTTTTATTTTAAAGTTAAGGTCTCCAGCATTGGCTTTGAACTTTTTCTGTAGCTCAGGCTGACCTCATGTTCCTCCTGGCTCAATAGTTGTGAGGGTGAGGGTGATGGGAGTTAACAGTCATATGTGTGACTACACCCTGCTATTCTTCATGCTATTTAATGCATAATGGAATTTTCTTTTTTTAATCAGATTTTATTGGGACATTTTAGATAGGCATAATCACACTCATCATAAGGAATTTGTACCTGTATATGAATACAACTTTTTTTCCCCACTCCCTTACTTTCCCTTCAACTTGTCCTTTCTTCCTTTTTTTTTTTTTTTTTAAATGTATTTAGTACAGGGTCTATAGGGTCTCACTACACAGATCAGACTTGTAGTGATCCTCCTGTTCGCAGCTTCTCAAATGCTGAGATTATAGGCGCCCACTACCACACCCAATCTCAATCACCATCTCAGTGTGCCCTGGGGCTGGGGTCAGCATGGCTTGCTGGGGATGGAACCCCAGTCAGTACGCATGCCTAAGAAGGCATTTTAGTTCACTGAGCTATCTGGCCAGCTCATTTTTCCCCATTTAGAAAAGCTTTGCTTCCATTTTTTTCTTTTCTTTTTTTTCTTTAACTTTTCCTTTTTTTCCTTCCCACTTCCTTGTTCCACTCCCCATTTGAACAGTTTCTTCATATTTCACAGTACTTACTATATTTAGGGCCTTATTTACACTTTTGGTTTTTTAGAGCGGAGAAACAGTACAATATTTACACCTGTCTCTGATTTATTTCACAGACGGTTATGGTCTCAAGGTAATCAGTTTATCTAGAAATATCTCAATCTTATTCTTCATGGCAGAATAGTACTCTGTTGTGTTGTGAAAAGAAAACATCTTTATCCATTCACTAGTTAATGGGTACTTGGGCTATTTCTGAGATTTGGCTATTACAAACTGTGCTGCTATAAACATGGTTTTGCATTTATTGCTGTGGTTTCATGCTTTTAATTCTTTCTGGAAGATACCCAGAAGGAGAATAACTGGGTCAAATGGGACCTTTAGTCCACATGAGTTTAACTTAAAAAAGAGATTTGAGGCATTGTCAGGGTTGTGATAAAAACAAAAGTGTCAGCAAAAAGGACAGTTTCAGAGAGGAAAACAAAACTATATAATATGAAATTAATTATGATTCACTTTCTGTAAATATTTACGTCATAATAGTTTAAATGCTGTCAGTGTTTTTTTTTTATATATATATAACAATCCATAAGTAAAATATGGTGGATTTCTTTTCAATCCTGAAAAAATGTAAATACAAATCACAAATTGGTAGGTTAAAGAGGGAAAAAGACATGAATGATACAGATGCTGATGTCCTCATCAAGAAGAAAGGCAAGATACACTATTTCTTTGCTGCTGTGAATCGAACTCAGGGCCTCATTCTTGCCAGGCAGTTGCTGTGCCACTGAGCTAAAATCCCTGGCTTCCTACATTGTTCGTTGTTGTCCAAACAAGAAAAGAATTTCAAGGGTGGGCCTGATAGCCATGGGACTATAGTGCTGGCTTAGGCAGAGTGCACTAGCAGAGTTTGATCCCCATCCTGCTGTGCTGGCCCCACCCGCGGGGCTTGCTGAGACTCAGTTGAGACTGGCTGTGATGGCATGCGCCTATAATCCCAGCACTTGGGAGCCTGAAAACAGGAGAATCATTGTGAGTCTGATCTACGTAGTGAGACCCTATAGACCCTGTCCTAAATACAGAAGAAAAAAGAATTTCACTCAGATGTCTAAAGATGTCAGAAGAAATAAACTTAATGATATAGCTAAGTATTAGACAGAATAATATTTTAAGAGTAGTATACACTAAACCTTCTATATAGCAACAAATCAATTGGTGTTATTGATAGGAAAAGAATAACTTTATATTCTGTTTAAGAACCAGAAGAGGCCATTAAAAGAAAAAATAAAAATGTTTCTGAAGATGTGGGTATAGATATAAGGCTTAGTTGCATTTCATTATAAGCTCTTGATGTATTTTGAATCTTACATGTACCCATAATTTTTATAAGAATTTTTAGGGGCCAGGGAGATAGCTCAGTAGAATAAACTCTTGCCTGGCAAGCACAAGGGCCTGAGTTCAGTCCCCGGTTCCACCAAAAAATTTAAAAAATAAAAATAAAAAGAATTTTTTAAGCCAGACATCGTGCATGCCTGCTGTCCTAGTTTTCGGGAAGCTGAGGCAGGAGGATCACTGTGTTGAGGCCAGTTTGGGCTATAAAATGAGTTCATGGTGAAAATTTGTTTCAAAAAGACAAAAAAAAATTTTTGCAATAGAAGTCGAGTATAAAAGGAGCTATAAGGCATGCTGAGGGTCAAGAATATTTTCCTAAAACTGCAGAATTTGAGTTTCAAATGTTAAAATTTAAATGAGGTGGAGGATTGGGAGGGAGGAAGGACAACTGATAAGATACAGGTCAATGTCTGTGCAGTTGCAGGGATGTGTGGGTAGTGTTTTGGGAATTGCCTTTTTTGTTTGTTTTTTGAGACAAGGTCTCTGTGTATTCTAGACTGATCTTGAGGCTGTGTGTGTGTGTGTGTGTGTGTGTGTGTGTGTGTGTGTATGTATTTAGTACAGGGTCTCAGTACACAGATCGGGCTCATGTTGATCTTCTTGTTTTCAGCCTCCCAAGCGCTGGGATTACAGGCCCTCACGCTCAAGCATGCCCAGTCTTAATCGCTGTCTCAGAACGCCCCATGGGCAAGGCCAGCACAGCATGCCAAGGATGGAACCCAGGCCCCTGATTGAGCTCAGTTTATAGCCCAGGCTGTTCTCAAACTGGCAGCAACCCTCCTGCTACAGCCTTCTGAGCGCTAGAATTACAGGTGTACATCACCATACCCAGCAGAGAATTTTAATAGAATTGTTGGACAGAAAGATTAGTGACAGGTGATCTTTTATTCTGAGAAAAGTCAAGTCTCTTTTCTACTAGTCAGAATTTTGCTTTTTGTTTTTCGTGTAGTTGGTGTCATGAAAACTTTTATTAAGTTGTATAAGCCATGTTTTCCAAATCCCTTGTTACCTTCCACCTCTAGATTTTTCCTCATTTGAGAACCACTGAGATTTTAGCTAGAAATTGATATGCTTTCTTATTAGAATAGCTTGTATTAGAATATACATTGTTGGCATTGTTGCAAGTAAATTTGGAGGAAGGACATAAGATGATAGTAAGAGGAGCAGTTGAGTGGCTGTAACAATATTCCAGACAAATGTTAATAGGTACCTGAGAAGAGAGCATTGAGTGTCTTTGGGGTAGAAGAGGAGGGCAGGTCCATGTGAGAGATATTGAAGTACTCTTGTTTGAACAGGCCCCATCAGTTCCTCTAAAACTGAAACCTGATTATTGGAGTGACAAGCTACAGAAAGAAGCAGAAGCTTTTGCTTATTATCGCCGGACACATACTGCCAATGAGCGGCGGCGGCGTGGTGAAATGAGAGATCTCTTTGAAAAATTGAAGATCACATTGGGATTACTTCATTCTTCCAAGGTTTCCAAAAGTCTCATTCTTACTCGTGTAAGTAAATGTTTCATGTAAATGACAACAAAAAAGACCTTGGAAAGGGATCTTACACTGTGAGAAAGGGGACCCGTTGTTATATGTGGGAGATGGATGTGGACTAATGAATACCTGGTTAAGTCCCTTAGAGAGAAACTTAGTATGTTGAGTCAGAATAGCTTTTTACAGAAAGTTAAAGTTTTATTTGACAGAACTATCCTACCTTCAAATAAAATCAGAAACTGACTTTAACATGTACTCCATAAATTGTTCTCACTTATAGAACAGTTTATCACAGTGGAAAGCTATACCATATTTAACATAATTAATAATTGACAGCATTTTACTTTTTTTTTTTTTTTTTTTTGTGGGACTAGGGATTGAACTCAGGCCCTTGTGCTTACCAGGCAAGCACTTATTCTACTGAGCCATCTCCCTGGCCCCTAATTGACAGCATTTTATAAAAGAAAATCTGAAATACTCAAGCTAGCAAAAGTTTCACATCTGCAAATAGAATAAGGCAGCTTCATTCAAACTGTTTACAGAAATTAAAGAAGTACAGGATAAACATAAATATGTCCCTGTAGGGCAATGTTACTTCGTTTTTTCTTTTGATTTTTGAGATAGAGTCTCACTATGTAGTTCAGGCTGCTCTTGAACTTCCTGTGTAGCCAGGTTGCTCTCGAATTCAATGCTGATCGCCTGTCTCAGCCTCCCGAGTGTTGAGATTACAGATGTGTGCCACCTCCCTCCACTGAGATTATTTTAAATTTGATTAAAATCTAAGCAGAATACGAGTATTTTGTTTGTTCTTATAATAGATGATCTATTTGACATTCAGTGATTCTCTTCAGAAATAATCATAATCTATTTTCCCTGTAAATACAAGCCAGAAAACTTTATACAGTTTATTTCTGGTACATGGTGGTTTTATATGACTTTATAAAGTTCTCAAAATACTTGTTTAAATTTTTTCATTAAAGATATTGCCTCCCTTATGTAAGAAAGAGTGGTTCAATTAACATAATATTACTTTTTTTATTCTAGGCATTCAGTGAAATTCAGGGACTAACAGATCAGGCAGACAAACTGATAGGACAGAAAAATCTCCTGACTAGAAAACGGAATATCTTGATACGAAAGGTATCATCTCTTTCAGGTGAGATATATAAATGGTCTCTAGTAATGAGTTTAATAACACTTTTATCAAGGAGAAATCCTTAATAGGCCTTTCAGATACTAATTAGTTTAAGCTTGGTCCCTTAAGTTTACAGTAGAACTATCTTTTGAATGGGTAGAGAATATTTTCTGAATTACAATCTTGGTGGGCATGGTAGCACTCACTTGTAATTCCAGCACTTGGGGAGGCTGAGGCAGGAGGGTGGTTGTGAGTTCGAGACCAGCCTGGGCTACAAAGTGAGCTCAAGGCCAGCCTGAACTACATAGTGAGACCCCAAAAAGACAAAAAAAAAAAAAAAAGTCACTCTTGCCTTCCATAGTTTTGGGGAATATAGTTAAATCAACTGGATTTCAGTTGATTCTATTTCTCATTATTATGTGGGGTCACTAAAAGAGTGATAATTTATTCCTTATCAACCTGTAGGTAAGACAGAAGAAGTGGTCCTGAAGAAGCTAGAGTATATTTATGCAAAACAACAAGCACTAGAGGCTCAGAAAAGAAAAAAGAAGATGGGAACAAATGAGTTTGATGAGTCTCCCAGAACTAGCAAACAGCAGGAAAGATCTTCTACATCTTCTGTAGATCTCGGACAGATGTTTATTAATAACAGAAGGGGGAAACCTTTGATTCTTTCCAGAAAAAGAGACCAGGCCACAGGTAGGAGGGACATTCTCTGATTTCCTTAATTTAGATGAATATCAGTTAAGTAGACTGAATGTCTTCTCTTGGCCAATAGTGTTCCAGCTTTATTTTTTTTTTATTTTTTATTTTTTTGGTACCAGGATCAAACTCAGGACTTTGTGCTTGCCAGGCAGGTGTTTGTGCCACTGAGCTATGTCTCCAGCCTTGTTTCAGTTTTAATTAAACATGAGCTATAGAAGATGAACTGCATTAGATTTCAGTTTCTGGCTTCAAATTATCAAGCACACCTTAAGAAATTAATTCTGTCATTGTAACATTAAGCCCTACTTCTAACAGCCATCTTATAGTTATATACTTTTAGTAACTTTATAACCTACCATCTTTTCAGATTTTATACATGACATTGTGATTTTCTTGCAGTTCTACTGATAAGTTTAGAAAAATAGAAAATTTTTCATTTTAGACTGGTATAGTGGCACATGCCTATAATGCCAGCACTTGGGAGGCTGAGTCAGGAGGATCTCAGTAAATTCAAGGACAGCCTGGGCTACATAGTGAGTTAGTTCAAGGCTAGCTTGCACTACATAGTGAGACGTTGTCTCAAGAAAAAAAGATTGCTCTGCTCCTGGGGCACACTGTGACAGCAACTGAGATGGCATGGTGACATGTGTCTGTAATCCCAGCTCTTGGGAGGCTATAAATAGGTGGATCACTACAGGTCCTATCTAGTAATGAGACCCTGAACACCCTGTAGACCCTTCCCTAAAATACAAAAAGAAAAAAAAATTATTACTTTTTGCTTATGATGATTGCCTTTATTCCTAGGTATGCAGAAGACTGAGCCAGGATCACTAAGAGTTTAGAACTGTCCTGCCGCATAAGCATGGCCTAAAGGAGAAAAAGGAAAAATTTAGTTTCATTGAATCTGGCTATTAGATAGATAGATAGTGTTTCATTAGATATAAGGGGGAAAAATGGCCTTAAGGTCTTCTGTCGTGATTTTGGAAATAAAGCTATAGATACATGTACATTATTTTCATCCTAATTTACTCTTATGGTAACCTAGTAAGAAAAATCTGGTTTATTATATGAAACTCAGGTGGACACTAAACCCTCTAACACACTGAATTCATTTTATGGGTTTTTGTTGTTGTTTTTTAATGTATTTGGCACAGGGTCTCACTATACAGCTCAGACTTGAAGTGATCCTCCTGTTTTCAGCCTCCCTAGGGCTGGGATTACAAGTGTTGCACCATCATGCCTGGACTTTTGGGGGCAGGGCTAGTATAGCACGTGGTGCTGAAGATCAAACTTTGGTCTCTGTGCTAGCTTAAGCAGGCGGTTAGTCCACTGAGCTATCTCTCTATTCCTTTTGTTTTGTTTTTAGACAAGAGTCTCACTATGTAGTTCAGGCTGGTCTTGAACTCACTATGTAGCCCAGGCTGGCCTCAAATTTTTAGTGATCCTCCTGCCTCAGCCTCCCAAGTTCTGGGATTACAGGTGTTTTAATATTGTGTGTAAGAAAGAAATTTATTTTTAAATTTTATTTCACTTTTTACTTTTTGAGATAGGATCTCACTATATAGTTCAGGCTGACCTCAAACTCACAGCGATTCTCTTGTTCTAGCCTCCTTGAGGCTGGAATTACAGGTGTATGTCAGCATACCCAGCTAGAAAGAAATTTATTGACCACATTTCTCATGTGACAGATCAAAAAGCTAAGGCCTAGAAACTTAAATTTGTTATATGTGTATTGGAAAGGGAGGCTGGGAATAGAATTGTATATTCCTTTTTCCTGAGTCACTACTAAGACTATCAGAGCAGATAGATAGATAGATAGATAGATAGATAGATAGATAGATAGATAGATAGATAGAGCGAGCTATATATTTATATCTATATCTATATTTATTCATATTCATTCAGAGGTATCCTATAGTGAAAATATTTTTGCAGCTGTGTTCTTCAATACATTCTCTCCCCTAGGAAAATCATCATTGGATAGGTAATCATTACTCAAATATGTTTCAAGAAAGTAAAATCTATGTTTAGTTTCTCTACATTTGAAGTGTTTTTCTTGACTTTAAGTGAAAGTGTGGTCTTTTTATCTTTATAGAAAACACCTCTCCCAATACTCCACACACCTCTGCCAATCTCGTGATGACTCCACAAGGACAATTACTTACCTTAAAAGGTCCCCTGCTCTCAGGACCAGTGGTAACTGTTTCTCCTGCTCTCTTAGAAACGGATTTGAAGCCTCAAATTGCCAGTAGTGGTATGGCTCAATCAGGTACATCATGTTGTCTTCTATGGGTAGTAAAAAAAGTTAGCCTTGGTATCTCAATGAAAAGTCTTTCAATGTGTTCTATAATGATTAAGAGGTACATGTTCTGTTGACATTTGCTTTAGTAGTTGTGTTTTTAGAATGAATCTAGCCTGATCTGTGATATTAGTTGGTGTGTTTATCTGGGATTGAGAACTTTTTTGGTTATTTTTAAGTAGAAAAATAAAGATGCTAAAGTGAAAGGAAGATGTTGAGGGATTATTGTCTTAGTTCTTGATATTTACAAATATCTATCAATTTTGTGTTACACTCCGAAGGTGTATATTACCACTTTATCAGCATGATTCAGTTTAGGGGAAAGTTGAAAAGGAAGTTTTTAGGTCTTAGACACCTAAATTTCTGTTATAGTAACAGAATATCCTCACTAGTATTAAAATCCTAATTACTTCCTTGACATTGCCAACAACAGTTCTTGTTTGTACTGCTGAGTCCAGTATGGAGAACTACTCTTTTTCCCTAACCAGATACCTTTAGGGCTTCATTTTTTTCTTAGGGTAACAATTGGGTTGGGGCTGGGGAGATGGTTCAGTAGAATAAGCACTTCCCTGGCAAGTGCAAGGGTTTGAGTTCAATTCCCAGTTCCACCTGTTCCCCCCCCCAAAAAAAAAAAAAAAAATTGGGTGAACAAGAATCAGACACATTTCTGCGAATTAGCTTGGGGAGCAGTTCTATAAAATTATTGAGTGGAACTTTTCTGAGACAGGGTCTCACTAGGTAGTCTGAATTGACCTTGAATACCCCATGTGGTTTACGATGGCCTCAGATTCATTATGTAGCCCAGGCTATCCTTGAACCTGTGATAATCCTCCTGCCTCTGCCACCCAGGTGAAAAAAGTTAGCTATAAACCAGTTAAATGGAACATACATACATACATTCATTCATTCATTCATTTATTCATTCATTCATTTATTCATTCATTCATGTATTGTGTGGCCGATTCAGCGCACACTGGGAGCAGGGCTGGTGCACCACGTGGTGCTGGGGATTGAACAGTGGCCCTCATGCTCTTGCCTAAGCAGGTGCTTTAGACCACTGAGCTATCTCACCAGCCCCAAGTGGAACTTTTATTGATGATAGAATATCAGAGTCTTTTAGTTGGATTTTATTTGACTGTTTCTTTCATCTATGTGACAAAAATAGACTAGTGAATTTTTACTATGTCCAAGATGGTCATTTGGTGTAAATGGGGGGGGGGGGGGAATAGTCATAGCTGCTGTATATCTTAAATTTTTTTTTTAATTTTATTTTTCAGAGAACGATGACTTATTTATGATGCCACGAATTGTTAATGTGACATCACTGGCCACAGAGGGAAGTTTGGTAGATATGGGTGGCAGCAAATATCCTCACGAAGTTCCTGATGGCAAGCCATCTGAGCACCTGAAAGACACGGTCAGGAATGAAGATAACCTGGAGGATTCTGATAGAGTATCTTCAAGAGGAAACCATAGTGACAGAAGAATGGCATTGGGTCCAACACAAGCTTTTCTGGCAAATAAAGATTCTGGTTTTTCACGTATAGTTGATGTTTCTAGGATGCAGGAAACACAAGAGTTTTTACCTAAAAAGATTTCATGTGATGTAAAAGGGAATCGGTATAAGTGGAAGGAGGGTGAATCAAGAGGAGAGAGATTAAAATCAAAGGAATCTCCATTTCATAAGTTAAAGATGAAAGATCTCAAGGACTCAAGCATAGAGATGGAACTGAGGAAAGTAGCATCAGCTATAGAGGAAGCAACTCTTGATTCCAGTGACCTACTGACCAACATGGAAGATGACGATGATACTGATGAGACACTGACTTCACTGCTCAATGAGATTGCCTTTCTTAATCAGCAGCTGAATGATGACTCTGTCAGTCTTGCTGAACTGCCCACCTCTATGGATACAGAGTTTCCAGGAGATGCTCAGCGGGCTTTTATCAGTAAGCTTCCTCCTAGGAACAGAGCACCTTTCCATGTTGGCCACTTGGGAACAGATTTGAAAGAGATGCCTGATGACCAACGAGAGAGTGACTCCATCAGCCCCCTCCTTTTGCACTTGGAAGATGATGACTTTTCTGAGAATGAAAAACAACTTGTTGAAACAGCCTCAGAGCCAGATGTTCTTAAGATTGTCATTGACTCTGAGATGAAGGATTCATTTCTTTCTCACAGGAAATCTAGTGATGGAGGGAAGAGTACTTCTGGTCTCCCTGTAGAACCTGAAAATGTGTCCTCACCTCCCATCCTACACATGAAGACTGGCCTGGAGAATAGCAACACAGATATTTTGTGGAGGCCTATGCCAAAGTTAGCACCTTTAGGTTTAAAAGTAGCTAATCTTCCCAGTGATGCAGATGGTCAGACTCTCAAGGTGATGCCTTGTTTGGCACCTGTAGCTGCTAAAATTGGGTCAGTTGGACATAAAATGAACTTAACTGGGAGTGACCAGGAAGGCCGGGAGAGCAAGATGATGCCTACATTGGCACCTATTATGGCTAAATTGGGCAACTCTGGGGTATCACCAAGTTCTTCAGGGAAATGAACTTACTTTTCTTAAGACAGAAACCAGGCTATGAGGGGAAGTTGAACCTTACCTCCTTTCTCTGCAGGCATTTGTTTGTGTCATGGAACAGTGATCCTTGACTTTGATGGTGTAGTAGATAAGAAAAAGGGGGTAGGGTGCTGACCCTGGTATAAGAAATAATACGAAATTCTGATCATGTTAAAATGTGTTACCTCACTTGTGGTGCTGGGTCCTCTAATCCTAAGAAGATGTGATCCATTACTGAACACGAGGTGCCCCTTACCCAAGGAATTTATTCAGGACTGGCTCCATAGTTGTCCCTACCGCCAAAACTCCTAACTCCCCAAGAGAAAAAGCTGTGTTAGAAATCAGAATTGCTTTGTACGAAATTGTATCTGAGAGCTCTTTGGTTAAATCTAAAATCTGAGGAATGTGTTACATTTGTGCAAAAGGGATCCAGAAGACATCATTTTAAGTTATTTCAGTGATTGAGATAGGATATGTACCGTGAAATACCAAAGTGAAGAATTTTATGTCACTTGGCAAAATTTTACCTTTTTTTAGATCCTAAGTAGCTTCCTTTTTCTTACTTTTTCAATCAGAATTCCATATGCAAGCCTTTTCATGAAGTAGAGATCTTTTAACTTTATTATTGTGATTATTTTGAGATGCGAAAAACCATAGTTCTCCCTTACTGTCTTTGTGGGTATTGAAATATAATTTCATATTGCCAGGGATTTCTTATTTTGGAGGTAGGTAAGGAGGGGAAACTTCCTCTTCACAAATCACATCACCCAAGAGATACTTAAAATGAAAAGCATTCCCCCTTACCCCCCCCCCCCCAAGACCAGAGACAGTGGCCAAAATAAAAAATTGCGGGGCTGGATGTTTTCCAGATCAAACCAGCCTCCCGGTGCTTGAAGGTTTCATTCACTGTTACCTGCACAGGTTGTAAAGAAAAGTCATAGTAGGCACTCTACCAGGGAAATAAGGCAGTATTTGAATCATGAGATATATTTTTTATCTACTATCATGGATTCAATGATCTGTAGAGCTTTTTCACTCATTAACTGTCAGGGTATGAAGGACTGACAGCCTGTAAAGATAAAGATATTTATATTTTTGTATAGTTGTTTTCATAGATTTCTCAAAGGCTGAAGTTTTCAACCTAGAAGATGAGATTTGTATTGAGTATAGAAATGTTTCCTATCTAGTTTGTAAATAATCATGGTGCACTTGAGGGGTCTCTTGGAAACTCCTGGGGGCAAGAATCACTATTCTGAAAATGTATAGACTGGGATTTAGCTGCTGCATTTTGCCTTTCTTAAATAATTATATTTTGGAATGTAACCCCCTCTTCTGTCTTCACTGACAGGATTTGCTTGTGTTGTAAAACACTTAACACAAGAGCTTCCACTGCCTGGGCTGTGCCTAGGTCATGCTGTTTCTGCTGTATCCTTCCTTACCCAACTCCCACTCAGCATATCTTCATGATTGTGAGACCAGCTTTGGAATGGGTCTAGCCAGTGATTATTACTTCCACAGCAGATTCCCTTCCCATTAACTCTGGCCATCAACTGGTCTAAAAGGTTAGGAAAGATTCCTCTGCAAAATGCAGAGAGAACAAGTTCTTTGTTGGTTTTGTGCTACTTGCCTTTCTAGACCTGCCCACTGGCACTTAACCCCTCTCAACTGAGGAAGCTTGAATTAGTTCAAAGAGTGCTCCTCAGCTTCTCCTTGTCTCTTCTCTTTATCCAGCAAATTTTATTCAATGCCTTAGTCAAGGAGTTTAGCACCTGTCTCTCTTGCTAATAGTCATTGGAGATGCAAGTTCTTTAACCTGGGTATACTAGATTCCCATTGTTTTATTGCTTGTCTCTTCTCCGCTTTCCCCCTGACTTCCCAAGGCTCTTGTGGTTTTTGAGGATCAGCCAAGGAGCAGGCAAGGGAGTGAAGAATCCTCAGGAAGAGAAGGACTATTCTCATTTTTGAACACTTTTCCCTTTTAAAGAAGATAACAGGTCCAGGTCAATTCTTGAACACTTGAGTATGCTTATAAAGATGTACAGAGATGGAAATGAGGTATTCCAGGTGTTTGTGGAAGGCTGCAGATGTCAACACACACCCCAAATTACAGTGTTCTCAAGACAGATCTAGGAGTCATCAGGGCTAATTTGAGGAGGGCTCAAGTCTTCAGAACAATCCTGCAGTCTTGACAGAAATTTAAAATCTCCAAAAAACTCCTACCCTTTAACCTTGTTCCAGAAGAAACTGATCTATGAAAATTACATGTGTGATAATGAAAGATGAAGTTGAGTAAGAAGAGTTGAGAAGCCTGGAAGACAGCGCTCACCCTAACTCTATAAGACGCATGATCTCAGTAGACCAATAATTCACCTTTTTATACATCTGTAAATAAATGGAATGTTTTTAAGAATATAATTATGTCAGATTTAGCATTTTCTTTTATATATTAAAAATATATCTTTCCTTTTCTGCTTTTGAAAGTGACTATTTTTTTTAGAAACAAGAACAGAAGTTGTTTGGTGATCGAAATAAATCAGTTACACTAATTAAAACAGGACTTGCTGTTGGAAGGTTTTTGCAAAATTGGAGTAAAGAATTCTTAACGCCCTGAGACATATTTGAGAGAGGGTGCTTTTGAATTTTTATCATTGGAATTCCTTCCCATTTTCAAAAGTTTCTGACATGCCGTTTTGGGGAGGTTTTTAGTTTTGTAGTCCTTGTGGATTGTCTTACCATAGAAGCTTCAAAATTGTGCACAAATTCACATGTATTTGTTTTAGAAGTGATTCTACAGTGAAAGCTGGCATCATGGTACCACTGTATAAAAGGCAATTTATCTGTTATCTTAGGGAATAATAGGATATAAACACAATCTTAGTAGCTAAGACAATAGACATCCTAAGGTTAGATGTTAACTACTTTCATAATTTACGGTTTTGCACATAGTTTACCATTTTATTAAAGGATTGTGGGCCGGAGATGGCTCAGTGGAATAAGCGCTTCCCTGGCAAGCGCAGGGGCCTGAGTTCAATCCCTGGTTCTGCAAGAAAAGAAAAAAAATTTTTTTTAAAAATAAAGGATTCCTTTTGACATTGAGGTACTGCTAATCTAAGATCACCAAACACATCAAGTTCAGTTATAAAAGCTTCATACATACTATCCATTTGTATAATTTTATAATGTATTCTTTCAGAATTATGGATGAAATGCCTAGTATAAGGCCTTTCTGTAACATTTGAAAATACTTTAAACACAAGACAAAGGCAGACAATTTTTTTTTTTTTTGCTGTGCTATGGTACTATAGTTTATTATGGCTATAACTGGTTCACATACAAGTACTTAGAATGGACTGAGGTGAATTGAGGTAAATATACTTTTAAGAAGGTCTAAAATGTGATAGCTCTTGTCTCAGAATTTAAAAAGTCAGTATAGGCAGCACATCTTTACATTTTTTAAATGGAGAATGACTAGTGACCAAAAATTGATAAATTTCCTGTGTAGAATCATTAGTTTTGAATAGTCCTATAAGACTCCCATGCCATTGTATTGTTTGTTTTGAATTTTATTTTATTTATTTATTTATTTATTTATTTTGGTGGAACCTGGGATTGAACTCAGGCCCTGCGCTTGCCAGAGAAGCACTTATTCCACTGAGCCATCTCCCCGGCCCCGTTTTGAATTTTAATGTGGACATGAATTCATAAAAAATGAGGCAGTCAGACCTATTAGTTGAATGAAATCAGTTAAATGCATATTTGGAATAAAAAAAAATTTGATATATACAACTCTAAAACTAAGACATAGCTCTAGTATGTTAAATAGGACAGAACTGCTATATATAAGACACTTTTTTTTTGTGGTACCAGGGATTGAACTCAGGACCCTGCGCTTGCCAGAAGACACATAAGTGCTAACAGTGATGGAACTGTATGTGGAGAACGGAGGCTAAGTATTGGGGGATGAGTTGGAAATTTTGAGGCAAAAGTTCTATATCTTGTGAAATCCTACTAGTAGGTAGAATTGTTAACTAGGAAAGCAGTGGAAACATTGCCTTGAGATTTATCCTGTTTCCAACTGCAGTCATTGGCATAGCTGACTTACAGTGTCTTGCATGTAAAGGTGCTCAAAATATACTTGAATTGATGAGCGAATATTTAATCTGGCCTGTTTTCTAGGTTGTAACTGCCCCTTATTTGTGTAAGGCCATTTTAAGAAATTCCATACAAGCTGGATGCTGTGGCACAGGCCTAAAATGCCTGTAATTTTTGTTACTAAGGCAGGAAGATTGCAAGTTTGAGGCCAACCTGGTCTACTTAATGAGATCCTATTTCAAAATTTAAAAAAAGATAAAAAGGGCTGGAAGTGTAGCTCAGTGATGAGTGCCTCTAGGTTTGATCCCTAGTATTGAAAAAAAAAAATCTAATAAGCATAATGCTAATCAAGACGTGTGTAATGTCTGTTTATCAACAGATACTTCAGAATTGGTAAACAGCATATATGCATGTTTAAGACAAGCAGAATAAAAAATAAGTGTATGGAGATAAAACATAAGGGTGGGGTAGCAAGTATTTGAGCAAAGGAAATTTTGCGCTGGACCTGATCCTTTTTTTTTTTTTTTTTTTTTTTGTGGTAACTAGGGATTGAACTCAGGACTTTGTGCTTGCCATACAGGTGCTTATGCTGCTGAGCTATCTCCTCAGCCCCTGACAACTAATTTCTGAGGAGTTAATGAAGCATGGATGTCTGTGGAGTGGTGAACCTATGGCGTGTATACCACAGCAGGCTGTGTCATTGAAAGCTCTAAAAAGGTTTCCATCACAGGCCCTATCATCACATTGGCACCTCAACGGCAGGGTAGTACTTAAGTAAGATTGGGAATAATTTGAAATGTGTCCTTTTGGCCTTGGGCTGGAAATATCCAGGTTCCAGACTTAAATTTGATTACACTGTTCTAAAGTTTTTCATTGTAGATAAGCAGTTACTTAGATTTGCGAATATAGCTTTAGGGTCAGAGAAGACTAATTTAGGGAACATTTTTTTGTAAAGGCTAAATTAGATTTGCACAAGAAATGACCAGTTAACCGTCTAAACCTGGCCATGAGTGATTAGGTAAGCAAATGGTTGACACAGAAATGACTCCGCAAAGACACTAGGTGGCACCAATTATAGCAGTGTTGGTTTCTACGAAGAGTCAGGTCACAAAAGGTTAAAGGAGTAAATCACCTGTTTCTAGGATTATGGTTAATGGCTTTTCCGTATTTGGGAAATTTGAAAATCCAATTTTAATTTCATCAGATTTACAACGCATGGTTGAAGGGAACGAAGCCTTTTATGCCTTTGGTAGCTGTTATCCCCTGGTGTTCCAGGACGTGACATACTTGACATTCATGTCAATCTGTAAGCTGTATTAGTCTTATTTTTAATATCTAGTTGCAGTACACATAATGTTTTTTAATTTGGGTGTACATGGTCTTTTGTTTAGGGGCCCTTCTCGTGAACGTGTCATCTCGGGGATCACTAAGTCTTATGATTTAGGTTAACTTTTTCATAATATTTCTTTAAATATTATCCAGGTGAAAAATCCTAGAGCAGTTTACATATGTGTGAAATATAAAGTAATGCATTTTCCATGTTTCCCCACTCC